GAGGGCCGCTCGAGCGAAACACTTGTTCACGCGTGGTGAGGAGCCAGGGCCTTTCTGCGGGGTTCAACACGCGCGCGCGTTCCCTGGAAACCAGAGTGACCGTGGCCAGCGCACGCTGATGGGACCTCTGATTCGCCAGGTTCAAGAGGTGCGACAACATCGAGGACGGTGCAGGCGAAAGAAATCTCGCGATTGCAACCACGTTGAAAACGTCTAAGCCGAAGTGGGCATCCAACCAATCCTGTGGAGGCCCAAGCGTATCCATTGCTGCGGGCCTTTCCGACTGTTCCACGCGGCGGTGTCATCAAAAATAACCGTGCTCCGAATGTGGCGCAGCTGTCTGACGGGGCAGCGCAGCGCGGCGAGATTGGCGAGCGCCGCCCACGCCGCGGCAGCCCACTGGAGCACGGGGGCTATGGCAGGTCGTCTCCATATGGGAGCCCCAACAGTCGCAAGCTCGGAGCGGGCGGAGAGACCTCGGCGTCGGGGGTCGGGCGGGCGCCGGGGAGGGGGGGGAGGGGGGGGCGCGATCAAGTGGCGCGCGACGGGCCCCCCGGAGCTCGCAGCTACTGACCCCCATGGTGGACGAGCCAAACATGGCCGCTGGCAACGCCCCAGCGGCTCACGCGTTCACGATCCTGCCTTTCTGACGGAAAATGCGCGCCTGCATCGCTGGAGAGCTCGGTGGCGGCGGCGCGTGTCCAATAAGCGCTGCTCGCTCTTCCGCAGGGTGCCCCTGGGACCTCGCCGCCTACCTGGGGCGATAACATATCCTGCAGAAACGGTGCTGGCGCGCTGGCGCCCTGCCATCTCGTCTAGACGCTGGGCAAAGTCTCTTGGCCAGGCCCAATTTGCTTGCGAATGTTCACATCTTGTCAGGGTGGGCGCCCGCCCTGAGCTCATCGCGGGAAACGATGACGAGGGCCGACGCAACCCTCGCCATCCTGCCAAGCACGAGTTGTTCAGTGCCGTTGCTGGTCACGCTGTCGCCGTCAACATGTGGCGAACGCTTTGCATCGGGATGCTTCCCCACAAAACGATCGAATGCCCCCGCGCTGCACGCGCGCGCACGCGTCATTGAACGTTCCTCCAGCAGGGGGCCCAGGCCTGCAAAGAGAGAAACCAAACCATGCCGAGCCCAAACGCGGAGCAAACGTGGTCCGCGCCAGTAGTTACAATCAGCCCTGACCATCGCGCCGTTGACGCCGTGGTCGGGCGCGGTCTGACGGAGGAGGCGGAGAGCGAATTGCGGCATTTCGCGGAGCCCCATGCGAATCCCCCCGTGACCCCATATCATCGCAATGAGCACACTCGGCACGCGCAGCCTGATGCCAAAACAGCGTCCTCGGCTCTGCGCCCTGGGCCCAAAAGCCCAACGCCCCCTCGGGTGGCCGAGGTTGAAGTCGGCGACGCATGATCTAAACGATCCCCCCAAACCCAAACGGGCCCCGCGCGCCAGAGGGCGGGTCTGAGACTTCCCGCTGGACTTTTCACGGCGGGGAGGGCTCGCGCCGCCGAGCGACTGAGAGGCGAGGCGAGAGATGCTGGAAGCCGCTTCCCCGACCTCGATCGCCGCGGGCCTGGGCAGGCGCGCCCCGCCAGGCGCGCGAGCACTTGGGGCGGCGCGCGCGACGCGCGCCAGAAACTTCTTGCTGGCGCACAGGGGCGCGCGGATCAGTGGATCGAAATCCAAGGCGGGTCTGAGCGACCGCGGGGGGTCACTAAGATTTCAGCGCATGGCCCTCGCCCCCCCGCGCAATGCTTGCTCCTGCCGCTCGCCCCAGCAATCCCTCTATGGCTCGTCAACGGCCTGCTCGGCCGCCGCGAGATCGCCCCCCCGCGAGCTGAGAAACACCTCGCTCTTCGCGCCGGTCGGCCTGGGGGCCGGGGGGTGAGCAGCGATCGGGCGCGAGAAAGAGCGGCGCGCAGACGCGCGCTGCGCCCCTTCGCCAGGGCACGGCGCGGCACGGAACTGCTGAACTAATCAGCGAAGAAATCGCCCATGCAACTCAGGGTCAGCAAAGGTTCTCCCACGTCTCATAGAAACCCCATGGGTTCAGAGAGATCTTGAACTAGCCACAGATCCACCCGTTCTGCTGCTGTCTCTCGGCGACGCAACTCCGTCTAGCAAAAAAACGGAACGCACAATGGTTTAAGGGCCCCCCGTTGAACCCTGCGTTTGCCCTCCACTTCCGCGCAAGCCTCGAGCTCAAGCTAGAAGGCGTCGGCGACGCGCGAGCGCTGCCAACGACTCCCGAACGCGCGAAGCAGAGTCATGGGACGCGGAAGCTGAAACTGCTTCGGCAACTGCTCGGGGGCGCCCCTGGCCCGGGGCCGAGGGGGGGGGGCCGTGGGGCAACTCGCGGGTAACTTCTGGTGAAGTCGGAAAATCAACTGAAGACCTCCGACCGCGTCTCCCCTTAACGCGCTGACAACGCGGCGGCGGGGTCGGCGCGCCCATTGGACGTCTGCCTGGATGCCGCCGCGCGCGCGAGTAAACAAGCGCTCGCGAAAACAAATGATCGCGGTCAGGCTGCCAAGGGTGGGCTCGGTTCCTGACGCGGGGCCGCCGGGGCCGGCGCCGCTGGCGGCCCCCAGGGCCTCGACGGCCCCAACCAAGCTGGGGCCACGTTTCCAATCGCAAACAACCGCAAACGCGCGCTCACCTCCGAGCCTCTCCCTCATAGCGCGGAACGCAGAAACATCCAGCTGGCACATGCCAGTCCAGCTTTTCAGATATCCACGCAGCACCAGGATAAGGGGGCCAAGATGGGCGGCCAACTATCGCGTTTTCCAACCGAGGGCCCCCGCAGCCGAAACAATGTCACCCTCCCGCTCCTGGGAGAAACCGACCTCCTGAGCCAACAGGATACTCGACAACGCACGGCGCAATCTCTCACGGAGGGTCGCTCCACGAGTTGTCATTGTTGGTCTCAATGCAGAAGCCCCGGCCCAAGATCCGCTCTGCTCCGAGTCAAGCGAAGGAGCAGGGGGTGGGAGTGGAAGAGGCGCCCCAAATTTACACAATGGTGGGACAAAGCATCGAGGGACAATGCTACCCCTGCCGCTTGGCCTCGCCAGTCTTGCGGAGCACAGGCTGAAACTTACCAGGGGAGGCGTCTCCATGTCCCTGTCCCGGGTGGACTCGAGGATGTCATCGACGAGCTCAACGTCCAACTCGGGCGTGCCATCGAGCTCGTAGGTAACCGCTGGTGCAGGCACAAGAACAGCAGCGCCCTCAGCAGACCCACGCGGAAACTTTTGAGCTCCACTTTCGGACGGTGACTTGGCCGCGGACTTGTTTTAGTATGCTTGAACAGGTTGCTCTCGGACATGTTGACTGCGAAATATTTGAGTTGCTGCGTTCCCATGGATGCGACAATACTCTCACAGTAAGGGAACGCCACCAAGAACATCAAACTCGATCGACGCCGCCACTGGATTTGGCCTGGTGACTTGAAGCTCCTGGTTAAGCACCAGCATCTCTTCAACTGTGGCCGGACTCTGTGCTCTGGAGGACCATTTTCCTGAACGCGTAAGATAATCTCTTCTTCGTCATATTGTATTCCAGCTGGGCCTTCCTGCTGGATGCTCGCGCCAAACGATACTCAATTGTGGTCTGACGGGTAAGCTGAGGCTTCTTCTCCGCCAAACATTGCGCGCGTCCGCCAGGCCACGCTGGAGTGATTCAACAGCTTCCCTGCCAATATCACCACGCATTGTCCTGCAATTGGCCACAAACGTCTCCAGCTGTTTGGTAGCGTCCCGTAGCTCAGCTCTTTTTTTTTCAAAGTCTCCTCATCCGTATCCCTGTCCTTGCCATCGTTGGACGAAATCGGCGAAGACGATGGGGCTGAATCAGACTGACCGCGCTGACTTGGAGACGCCGCGAACTTGTCAATGTTTTTCGGTAGCTCAGCGGGCTTGTGCTGCAGAGGGTCGCGCCCAAGGCCCCGAACACGACGAGGAGGGCCTTGGGTAGGCTGGCGCCCCGTAGGAATAACAAAGGCGTTGCCTTGAACATGACGAGCGACACCAGCAGGAGCACGTGAACCGCACTTGCACACGACCCTGGAAACCCAATTCGCATTCCGCCCACACGTGCTGCACGCCCAGGTTGGGTAGCGAGGCCCTGGAAGGACGTCTCCAGCATCTTTGCCGCCATGGGATGGTGCCGTGAACCTGCCGTAGCAGGCAGAGGTGGAGTGCCCTCGCGGGCCCGTCAGCTTGCCTCGAGGCGATCGCAGCGGGGCGGGGTGAGCCCTGGCCTGGGCAGGTCGTTTGCAGGGTACCCCAGGATAACAAAAACAGCTCGAGTAATGCCTTTGGCTGCGAGCAAGCTCGAAGCGCCAGGCAGCACGTTTCGAACTTGAGCCAAAATGTCTACGGACTGGCTGTTGCCCAATGAATTGGACGGGTACGCCGAAAGTTCGCCTGGTGCCGGACTGGTGGCCGGTAGTGGGCGCCTCGTGGGCGTCCTGCGCGCTGTGCGGGTCTGCACGGGTTTTCGCACAGTGCCCAGTTGGTAAGTGGCCGTGGGCACATCGTGGGCGCCCCGTGGGCGGCCTCAGGGCTGGCACCACTCTGACATGGCTTGCACCGCATAGCTTACATCACACAGCTTGCCCCGCATGCATTGCACCACCGAGCTTACCCCACATCTTACATCCACAGTGCAATAACTCATTGTTTGGGGTCTACGCTGGCAAACATACACTGCCAGCGCAGGGCAAGCAAGGCTCCTGCCCTCCGTGCTCCGAAGCCTGTCGACGCACAGGAGGTGGGGCGAGGCAGCGGCCCATGCCATCGCGCCGGGCCTCTCTCACAGGGGACCAGAAACCTCGAAGAGAGCTTCTTAGAAGGCGTGAGTGCCTCTGGGGAGCACCTGGGGTCGCCCCCTCGCCCTATCCCCCCTGCATCCCTCCTGTATCGGGGACACGTAAGACTCGAGTGTGGGTGACCCGAATTGGCCTCACAAGGCCGTCAGAAGGATGACGGGACCTATCGACTGAAATTTCAAGCGACCTCCCTCTGCAAACGTCTCACAAAAAATGGCCCGCCGGAGCTCACGCCGGGACCGAGAAAGTGCGGCGGCAAGCTCGAGTTTCGGCAGGCTCGAGTCTTGCGCTTCCACCCCGGTGCGCGCCGACACGGGGCGCCAAGCGGGCTCGCGTCCCCCACTACGACCCCGCCAGTCCTGCCACCATGTCGGCCGCGGCTGGAACCTCTGGACCGCAGCGGCGTGTCGCGCCGCCGCTCAGCGGCGGCGCCGTCCGCGGCGGCGCGGGCAGAGGCGTCGTCCGCGCCACCCTGGCGGAAGCCGCGCTCATGAGAGGCAACGAGCCCGCCCAGGCCCCCACGACATCACCTCTTATACGAGAGCCAACGAGCCCCCCCAGGCCACCACGACGTCGCCTCTTACAGCTGTGAACCGATGTGTCCCCACCCCCCGCCGACTGGAGCTGTGTGCCACGCGGTCACGACCGGCACAGACGGGACACAGACGGACACAGACGGGACGAGGCGCGCGCTGACAGCCCGCGGTGGTCGGCTGCATGGACGCTGCTCCTGCTGCTGCTGCCGCCGCCGCTGACGCCGCCGCCGCTGCCGCTACTGCCGCTGCCGCTGCCGCTGATGCTGCTGCTGCTGCTGCTGCTGCTGCTGCTGCTGCTGGCCGCGCCCTCGGAGGGCGCACCCGACGGATGGCGTCGTGCCCGACGGTGGGGCGGCCAGCGGGCGCCGAGGAAAGCGAGCGCCCACGACTGGCTGGACCAGGGGGTGGGCGGTCTGGCGGCCGAGCACCCTGCGCGCCCAGAGGCGGCGCTTGCAGTGCGCAGCGCCAGGGGGCGGCTGCAGGCGCCAGGCATCGGAGGCTCATCCTCCGCACAGCGGCGTCTCCGAAGGCCTCCGGCCTCCAGCGGGTCACGGGCGACGGGAAACGCGACGGCGCGCGGCGGGCCACGGGCCCGCAGTGGCTTCCGGGCGTCGGGGACCTACCAGTCCAGCTGAAGGCTCGGCGGGGATCGGCAACAGCGGCTCCGAAATGGCCGGTAACTCAACAGGGACTAACGGCCCCGCGGAGGGCAGCAGCTGTCTGGGGACCCGCAGCAGCTCGCCTCGACGGAGACCAGCAGCAGCAGCAACAGCAGCAGCCTGGCAAGGACCCGCCCTCCTGTGTGGCGAACGCCGCCCGTCTCACAGAGGGGAGCCTAAGGCAGGCCGACGGGCGCTGCTGTGGGCATGACGGTAAGCACACGACGTCGTGGCCACGGCAGCTCGGACGCTGCCAGCGCTCACGAGGGGCGCTGTACAGAGAATTTAAAGAGTTTTGAGCTCGCAAGAGCGCGTCTCGTCCCGCCCATGTCTGCGAGCCTTTGCCGCGCTACATGATCCTCACAGTATTGGAAGGACCCTGGCGGCAGGCTGTCAAACTCTGGCCTTCATGCTTGGGGCCGTACAAGTATGAACATCAATATCATCATCGCCATCATCAACAGCACCATTCGAAGCCGAGGGGGTCCAAGAGGCCGCCCAAAAGCATCCCTAGACTGGCCGCCGCCAGACGAGCATCCCTCGCCACGTACGTGTCGGCATCAGGAACAATAGCATGTAGACAACTACTGCAATTATCTGTGGCGAGGTCTGGGCATTATGAAAGGCAGCCGGCGTAGTCGCTCGCCGCACGAGTGCCGCCATAATAGTCCTCATCATCGTCCCACACCATCGGCATCAACAACATCAACAACATCAACCATCAACCATCAACATCATCAACCCACACCGTGCCCCACCGCCACAGCCTCGAGGCCATCGCCATCAATGTCATCATCAGACGGCATCGTCGCCGCCGCCGCGGTCGTCGCCGCCCTGGGTCCTGGACGGCGGCGCAGCCCCCGCGCTCGGCCGCGATGAGACTGGCGGCGGGGAGCCGATGTGCAGCGTGGCGCAGGCTCTGAAAGAAGAAACACTGGCATGCACACAAACTTTTGGAGGTCCACGCGGACTTCCTGGATCCGCGCTGGAACCCCCCTCCCTGTCGCGCGGAGCGCGCCAGGGACGGCGCCAGAGGCGCCGCCAGAAGGGGGGTCCAGCGCCGATCCAGGAAGCCCGCGCGGACCCTCGAAAGTGTCTGATCATGCCGGTGCTTTCTTCTTCGAGGCTCTGCGTGCAGGCGGCCTCGAAGAGGAGCTCGGGGCGGAAGGTCTCCCCCAGCAACAGCAGCCGCGGGGGCTCCTCGCTCGCGGCCTCCCGCAGGGCCCGCGCCGCCGGCTTCCGGCGCAGCCAGCTGCCCCCCGCCGCCTCGACGATGGCGCGCAGCGCGGCCACGTCCTCGGGCTGCAGGCCCGCGCGCGGCGACGCGAAGACCTGGACGCCGTCGAGCAGCGGGCCCTGCCGTCTCCTGCGCTCCTGCGCCAGCTCCAGCGACAGCGCCCCCGGGTCGAGCCCCAGCCTCGGGGGACGCCGCCCAACCACCTCACCGGTCCTGGCTGGGCCGACACTGAGTCCGAGCTCGGTGCGTTTCCAAACCATCCTGTGGTGTCGGGTGCTTGATTTGAAAGGACAGCGCATCGCGTCCCTCCCACCCTCTCCTCCAAATGTCCCCTCCCTCCTCCCATCCCTGCCCCTGCCATCCACACCCCTCACACGTGTGGTGGCCCCGCAGGGAGCTCCACCGAAGGTCCCAGTGGCAGCGTTCGCATGCGCCCGCCGCACCCAGTTCGGCACACCCCTCCCACGTGTCGTGGTCCCGTAGGGAGAAAGAAGGCCCCTGTGGCTGCGTTCGCATGCGCCTGCCGCGCCCAGTTCGGCATACCCCTCACACGTGCCGTGGTCATATAAGGAAGCTCCACCGAGGGCCCAAGTGGTAGGGTTCACATGCGCCCGCCGCACTCATTTCGGCACACACGTGCCGTGGCCCCATAAGGGGGCTCCACCGAAAGACCCAGTGGCTGCAGTCGCATGCGCCCGCCACACCCATTTCGTTACACCCGTGACGCGTGTCGTGGCCCCAAAGGGTGCTCCACAGAAAGCCCCAATGGCTGCGTTCGCATGCGCGCTCGCCGCATCCATGTCGGCAAACCCCTCACACGTGCCGCGGCCCCGCAGGGTGCTCCACCGAGGGCCCCAATGGTTGCGTTCGCATGCGCCCGTTGCACCCATTTCGGCACACCCTTCACACGTGTTGTGGCCCCAGAGGGAAATCCAGCAAAAACCCCAATGGCAACGTTCGATGCGCCCGCCGCACCCATTTCGTCACACCCGTCACACGTGTCGTGGCCCAAAGGGTGCTCCACAGAAAGCCCCAATGGCTGCGTTCGCATGCGCGCTGGCCGCATCCATGTCGGCACAACCCTCACACGTGTCGTGGCCCCGCAGGGTGCTCCACCGAGGGCCCCAATGGCCGCGTTCGCATGCGCCCGCCACACCCATTTCATGACACACGTCACAAATGTCGTGGCCCCAAAAGATGCTCCACCGAAAGCCCCAATGGCTGCGATCGCATGCGCCCACCGCAGCCATAGCCATTTCGTCGCAACCGTCACACATGTCGTAGCCCCAAAGGGTGCTCCACCGAAAGCCCCAGTGGCTGCGTTCGCATGCGCGCCAGCCGCACCCATTTCGGCACAACACTCACACGTTTCGTGGTCCAGTAGGGTGTGATAATGGTCGGTCATTAGGAATATCATGCGCTCACTCGCTTGCTGCTAGTGCTGCTCAGCTGTCCACTGACGTGCGTGTTTATATCGCCATGTGGGTTCAATAAATGTTAGGGCCCTTGGCCTTAAAGCTACGAGCGTTTGTATCAACGATACTCACAAAAAGGCCTGAACCGCGCTCATACCATATCACAGTGGTAGCTTGGAGCGTGCTCCCTCCACCTGCCAGACGCGCGGCGCCATCTATATCCAAGCCCTGCGGGGCCCAGTGTTCGCCAAACGACGCCGTCGAGGAGAACCACGGAATCGACGACCAGCCCTCCCTATTGCTGCTGCTGCAACTTCACCCCCACGTCAACGACGCCGTCGAAGAGCCCACCTACGCCTACTATCCGCACTCCCACGTCAGCGACGCCGCCGATGACATCTACGCCTACCATCCGCCGTACAACGTCAGCGAAGCCGCCGACGAGACCGACGCCTACCGTCGTCACTCCAACGTAAGCGAAGCCGCCGACGACCTGCACACCCAGTTCCTCTTCTATGTCAGCGACGCCGCCGACACCTACCAGCTCGTCATCTCAGTCAGCGAAGCCGCAGACACCCACCAGTTCCTCATCCCAGTCAGCGAAGACGACGACACCCCCCCCACGTTTTCGAGATGACGAACAGCGCATCCCATGTACGGCGACACGATCGGCACGATGGTCGATTTCAATAACAACAAAAAGACCTCCATCACACCAAGCTAGAATGGAGATCCGGCGAAGTGGCGAGACTACAAACAAGAAGTAAAGCTCTGGGAGCTCAGCGAGAACCTGGAGGTCAATCAATGCCTAGCGTCCAAGCTGGCTGACGGCTCCGCGATTGCCGCCGAGGTCAATATGGATGCCGACAAGCGTCATCCAGCAGCTGAAGATGAAATCGATGACGCCAACGCAAGGAAAGAGAACAGCAACGAGCATGGCATCAGAAACGTCCTGCAACACTTGGAGGAGAGCCTGGGCCAGCAGAAGCCGGTCCGAAAGTTTTTTCGAATCTACCACTCACCACAGGCGCCGTGGTGAATGCTCGTCAGGTTCGGCGCGGGCCTACGACAGCTGCGCGAGAACGGAGTGGACCCGAACGCCATCGACGATGTCGCTTGATGTTTCTTGCTGCGCAAGGCCAGTCTCAATGCAGAGCGGCGCGAGCGAGACATCGGTTACCACCCTGACGAGCACTACGGTTTCTAGCGCTTTCGGGGACTGCTGGTGCGCATGTTCTCGGACATCCACGCCCAGGAGAGGACGCATGCTCCGCCGCCGAAGCCATGGGGCAATCAGTCCCTGTCCTCGCAGCACCAGCCATCTACTACGATGGGACCTCGATCAGCCAACGTGGTGGACGAGCCCGACGAGGAGGACCTCGACGACGGCGAGGTCGACGAGGACGAAGCTCAGGAGGGCGACGCCCAGGACATGGTGCGCCACGAGCTCGAGGCGTTCAGTGCCGATCTCGAGGCATCGGGCGTGGACGTGTCCGATGTATTCGACAACGACGACTAAGCGCGAATCGAGACTGCGGCGGCCGAGCTCGCGGCCATCCCAAGGGCCATGGCCACCATCCGGTCGGCCCCAGACGCCATCAAGGGCCTCGGGAAGGGGGGCCGAGCTGCAAGCAAGGTCATGAGCTCCAGAATGGACCAGCGGAAGAAGAACACTACCTGCTGGGACTGTGGCGAGACTGGGCACTGGACCAGTGACCCGGACTGCCCTACGCCTGTCGCCGGCAAGTTTGCAGCGCCGATTGGAAAAACCAAGGCGAGTGCGAGACCAACGCCAGGACGGCCTCACCGCTCGACGAATATCACCGAGCTGAGCGGCCCCGAGGAGGAGATCCAGATCAACCCCGAGGGCCCGGTCACGAAGCCCAACGAGGACGCGCTCCCGCAGACGTGCCTGTCTGAGCGGGTCGTTCCCGACCTGCCGAGCGTCAACCAGACCAATAGCAATAAGAAAGTCAACGACCAAGGCATCGGCGTGGTGGACACGGCGTGCCTCTTCTGCATGGCGGGCCAGTCCTGGTACGACGACTACAAGAAGATGCTCGTCAAGATGGACCTCGGCGAGCAGGTCTTGGAGGAGGCCGAGGACGAAGCCTACAAGTTCGGCATCGGCGGGACCCTGCCGAGCAAGCTGCGCGTGACCGCGCCGCTCGTACGTGCTGTGCGGCCGCGCAGGAAGGATCGTTTTAAGCGTCGTGGACAGCCCGACGCTCAGCCTGCTGATCGGCAGAGACTTCATCCCTCCCTCCAAGATCGACATCTCGCTCTGATGCCGAACATCGGCGTGACCGAGAAGAAGCCTAGCCTGGTGGACGCCATCAACAGCCTGATTCCCAAGAAAGATATCAACGTCCCCAAGCGACTTCTGACTCGCAAGGTCAAGGGGTCGCGCCTTATGGGCGCCATCGCGTCCGCACTGGTGCGACACCTACTGTGCCCACGACGGTCAACCTCACGAGCGGTGCCGCGCACACCGTCGTGTTGAAGTCGCCGCCGTCGTGTCAGCCGAAACCCCCAAACGCCTCGGAGTGCTACTCCTGCGGCCAAAAGGTTGGCCAGGCGTACTGCCACATGGGGTTCTGCGCCGACTGCGTGTTCGGCACCTCCGTGGACTTCTACGTGCTGGACGACGCGAAGCAGAAGGAGGCTAACGTCGTTGAAGAGGAGGAGGAGGAGGAGGAGGAGGAGCAGCTGCGCGTGCGCAACCTCAAGAAACGCTCGAAGACGATCCTCATTGCAGGGAAGCGGACGGCCCTCGTCACCAACAAAGGCGGGATCGTCCCGCATCAATTCGGTCCGGCACTACGCGCTGACTTGACCCGGTCATGCGCCTATTCTTTTTCTGGGATAGCAGCCGTCACCGGTCCCGCCCCTTCCCCCAAGACGATGTCACGTTCCGCGGCGGCGGCATCTGGGAATGCCTAGTGATGACCGGAGCCAAGTAGGACCAGCATTTAGGTGGAGATTTGCACCACAGCGCCTGTGTACACCACAGCGCTTGCGTGCACCATCGCAAGCGTGTAAAACACAACGCCTGTGCACACCGACCGCAACAGCGGTGTGCAACGCAGCGCCTGTGTACGCCACAATGCTTGCGTGCACGATAGCGCCTGTGTGCACCACTGCGGATAGGTTCACACTGCAGCAACCATGTGCAACATAGCGTTTGTGTACACCACAATGCTTGCGTGCTCCGCAACGCCTACGCACAGCACAGCACCTGCGTACACCACAGCATCCGCGTGCAACGCAACGCTTGCACCACAGCGCCTGCGTGCACAGGACACGCAAAAGGAGCATGTAGGTGAGAATTTGCTGCGGACAATTAAACGCCACACAAAAGATGTACTGATAACGGGATGCTATGTTCTGCCTTCCTCCCTCCTCTTCCTCTTCTTCCTCCTCTTCCTCCTCTTCCTCCTCCTCCTCTTTTTCCTCCTCCTCCTCCTCCTCCTCCTCCTCCTCCTCCTCCTCCTCCGCCCTCACCCTTCCCCCCGTCGTGCGGGTCGCGCTACAGCGCACGTGCGCACCTCAGTGTGCACAGCAAAATGGTTTATTGAATCAGTCCACTTGCTTTTCGGACGCTAATTTTGCGGGAGCCTTCTGGACACATATTGGAAGAGTTCAGGTGATGCGGGGGCTCGGGAGGATTCCTTGTCCAAATCCTCTATAAAGCAATCCCACCAGACTTCTGGGCGTAGGTCGTCTAGGGAGGCTCCTCTTCCAACCCCCTTTTCCCCCTTCGGG